TGCACGGTTCCCATGACCACACCTCACGCGACAAATGCGATTCATAAATAATGTTACGAGACCAAAACAACCAATTTTAATGAATTCATCCACGAATCGTTAAATCCTTGCAGTCGCTGCGCAAGCTCCACCTCGATGGGCCAGTCGCTCCGTTCCCCTTTGCTGCCTTCACTGCAGAGCGACCCCTGTCCCCCCCCCTGACCACTCACGTAAACATGTACAGCCACACGCTGAATTCCTACGAATGCCCATTGAAAAGGAGGAATGTTACAGTGTGGTTCAAGTTAAACAGTTATCCAGCACACATTGATATGAGCGGGAAAACAAAGGCTGCAAAAACTCGGATCCAGGAGAAAGATAGTTTAAAACAAACGGTCAGATGCAGCGAGTTCGCTAAACAAGTGGATGCATCTGTGAAAGGGACAAGTGGAAGACACAGCAGAGGACCGTGTACCTCGGACAGCTACTTAAGGCAGTTCGGGATCAAAATGATCAAGTGAAGAGGTGAACAAGAGTGGGTTTCATTGCCTTGGCGAAACAAATGTAAACCAAACTATATTATTTACCAGGTAAAACCCATTGAGTCATACGCTCTATTTCAGAAGCGACCTCGCCACAAAGGATAGCTCAACGAAGTGGCTTATTGTGTGGAAATGTACAGCAGCCAAACACTCTAAACGTGTGTTTCTAAATGTGGCGGGAAAAACCGGAGGACCTGGAGAAAAATCCACGCTACCATGGGGAGAACACGCAAACTCCAAATATATAGTAGTGGCGTCAATGCCAGGATCGAACCCACGTCCCTCCTGCATACCATGCGAGGGAGAAAATATCTTGCCACCGCGTAAAAGCAACGTGCCATTGTGCTAAATAACTTCGGTTTGCTTCCTGCTATGAATCAGACATTAACAGAGACGATGATGAATTTAAAAACGCGTGCAGATGCATCCAAGCAAAGAACACCGCATGGGTTCAAGAATATACGCAGGTGAATGATACCATTGCAAGTGGTAATAAAGTGGTCTCGGGCAGGAGACGCAGCGAGCAGGACCAGTGGCACGTGGTTTGAGTGTGTCGGCCACAGGAGGGATGGTGCACAAGAGAACGCGCACCTAGGAGATGGAGCGCGGGCGCTCGGTGGAACTTCACATTGCAGGATCTTTCGATGATGGTGCCCTTCATCCAGTAGTGGATTGATCATGGTGGACGATTAAAGTGACCGCAATGTCTAAAAATAGCATTGGAAAGCCCAAACGTGGACGTGCGCCTGTGTTGGAACGCTTTGAAAGCCAGTGCCAATTAGTGCATTCATTTTTGTAACTTGCACGGGATTAGATTATCGACTTTATGACTTCGGAAACCAATAACCGAGTTATACAGTGACAATGAGCTTACCGATAAGAGATTAACGTCCCTCATCACCATCGCATTGCAACAAGTGAACAGGATATTTCCCAACAGCGTTGGCAATATTTAACAAAAAGAACCATTATCTCCATGGAAAAAAGGCATACTCCCACAATTGCACCACAACACAAGATTGTATGTTAACAGCCGCAATTGCAGAGTGGTTAAATCAGCTCTTCCAGGATCACGTCGGTGGTATCTGGTGCCTGTTATCACAAGGAACAAAGTGAGGAAGGCCACAAGGGGGGTAATTAAGGGCCGATAGGAGCCGTGGCTTTCTGCTGCATGGCGGATAACACTGGTCAACACACTTTTTCTGGCATAAGGTATTCCAACGGGTTTAAGGTAATTTTGGGGTGCTGATTCCAAATCTGGCATCAGTTTTTGTCTATCACAGGTTTTTCAGATATCAAATATTGCATTTTCAATAAAAACTGCAAAAGAAAAATATTAAATAAATGTGGATATCTACATAAAATGATATTATAAACACACTATCCTAAAAATACAGCACCATATTTTAACACTAAAGCAGTCACTGACTCACAATAACTTGCAATCATAAGCGACAGAGTTAATTTCGGGTAAAATCAATGAAAATGGGGAATGCCGATAGCATAAAAATGAGATGTGATAGAGCAAATCTGAGATCAGATTTGGAATCAGCACCCTGAAATTAGTCTAAAACAGCTGCAAAAGTCCAGGCCAGAAAAACATGTTTGTTTTTTGTTGACCAGTGTAATGCGAGGCCCTGACGGGAGCCCGAATTGGAACGTGAGCAGTGTCCGTGTTGGAGATGTGGAGCACGCCGAGTGCATTAAAGCGCACGCTGAGGAGCAGGACACTGAGGAGCAACAGAGGAGCACACACAGACAGGGCCACGCGGCTCGTGTGAGCTGCAAGGCCCCCCCAGGTGATGAGGGCTGCCCCCACTGCGACTGGACACGCGTGGGGCCCTCTACACCTCCTCTCCATTCTCCTCTCTACGCAGGACAATTCACGGATATCACCCTCTCCCGTGCCTCGAGTATTTTTAGATCTTCCTCTCTCTCTCACCACTCAAAGTCTCGGCGTGTAAGATCTACAATACTCTTTGGTTATTTCGGTAAAGTCACGTAGGTAGAAAATAAAATAAATCACGACGTTTCGGGCGCAACACAAGCAATTGTTTCTTGCTGTGGTTGTCCCACCTGATGACGGACGCTTGTGTTGCGCCCGAAACGTCGTGATTTATTTTAATGTATTTTCTTTTTACGTGACTTTACCGAAAGAGCCAAAAAGTATGGATTTCTGTAGTCACGAAAACTTAAGATTCTCTCTCTATCCTCCCCCCCACCGCGTGCACTCTCCAATCTCTGAAAAGCGCGACGTTGACGCTGATATGAAGATTTCGTGACTGCAGGAATTAGTCTTTGGTTCTTTCGGTAAAGTCAAGTAGGTATAAAATAAATTAAGTAATAGAGTACGACGTTTCGATTCAACACAGGCAACCGTCATCAGGTAGAACTAAATTTGAGAGAGACAAAACAGACACGGAGACACACAGACAGACAAGCAGAGAGAGACAACACAGAGACACACAGAGAAACACACAACATAGACACACAAGCAGAGAGAGACACACAGAGAGACACACAACATAGACAGAGAGAGACACACAACATAGACAGAGAGAGAGAGACACACAACATAGACACACAGACAGACATACAAGCAGAGAGAGACATACAAGCAGAGAGAGACAACACAGAGACACACAGAGACACACAGAGAATCACACAACATAGAGAGACACACAACATGGACAACGTGTCTATGCTGATATAAAAAAAAACATTACAACTCCTTAAGAGGGAGACTACAGCCTGGACACTGATCTCTGAAACGTCAATAACCAAGTCGCAAGGACATCGTCTCTGAAAGTAGCAGCAGTTCACTGCTTTGCATTTACGAATGGATGCAGTCGCTTGTACGAGACTGTAACAACCACAACAGCTACAGTATTACATTGCAAACTAATCACAGTGATTGCCGAGCACGAGGTCAATGATGGTTGTGGTGGTTTGGTTGGTGATGGTTGTGGTTTGGTTGGTGATGGTTGTGGTGTGGTTGGTGATGGTTGTGGTTTGTTTTAGATTTGAAGCTTTCGTGAATGCAAGGATTCATATTCTTGGGTTTTTTCGGTAAAGTCACGTAGATGACCTGAAGACGGACGCTTGTGTTGCCTCCGAAACGTCGTAATTTTTATTTTATGGTTTAGTTGATGATGGTGGTGGTGATGATGGTATTAGTAACGGTGGTGATTCGCGTGATTGGTGGTGATGGAAGCGATGTTGGTAGTAATGATGGTGGTTGGTGGTGATAGTCGTGGTGGTGACGGTGATGATGGTGATGGTAGTGGTGGTGGTTGATGGTAGTGGTGGTGGTGATGGTAGTAGTGATGGTGGTGAATGTCGTGGTGGTGACGGTGATGATGGTGGTGGTGATGGTAGTGGTGGTGGTTGATGGTAGTGGTGGTGGTGATGGTAGTAGTGATGGTGGTGAATGTCGTGGTGGTGACGGTGATGATGGTGGTGGTGATGGTAGTGGTGGTGGTTGATGGTAGTGGTGGTGGTGATGGTAGTAGTGATGGTGGTGATGGTTGTGGTAGTGGTGGTAATGGTGGTGGTGATGGTGGTGGTGATGGTGGTGGTGATGGTGGTGGACCTCAGCACGTTTCTCGGCGTCACCCGCGGCTCTGACCCCGGCGTTCGCTGCGCGCTCCCCTCGCACGCGGCGCCGCTGTGAGGCGGAGGGAGGAGAGCACAGAGCGAGTCGCCCTCACCGCGAACCACGCGGTGAGCAGCCTGCTAAGTCACCCTCACCGCGTGTGAGTGGTGGTGAGGTGGTGAGTCGCCCTCACCGCGTGTGAGTGGTGGTGGTGGTGGTGAGGCTGTGAGTCGCCCTCACCACGTGTGAGTGGTGGTGGTGGTGGTGGTGAGGTGGTGAGTCGCCCTCACCGCGTGTGAGTGGTGGTGGTGGTGGTGGTGAGGCTGTGAGTCGCCCTCACCACGTGTGAGTGGTGGTGGTGGTGGTGAGGCTGTGAGTCGCCCTCACCACGTGTGAGTGGTGGTGGTGAGGTGGTGAGTCGCCCTCACCGCGTGTGAGTGGTGGTGGTGGTGGTGGTGAGGCTGTGAGTCGCCCTCACCACGTGTGAGTGGTGGTGGTGGTGGTGAAGCTGTGAGTCGCCCTCACCGCGTGTGAATGAGGTGGTGGTGGTGAGGCTGTGAGTCGCCCTCACCGCGTGAGTGGTGGTGGTGGTGAGGCTGTGAGTCGCCCTCACCACGTGTGAGTGGTGGTGGTGAGGAGCCTGCGAAGTCGCCCTCACCGCGTGTGTGGTGGTGGTGAGGAGGAGGCTGAGTCGCCCTCACCGCGTGTGAGTGGTGGTGGTGGTGAGGAGCTTGCGAAGTCGCCCTCACCGCGTGTGAGTGGTGGTGGTGAGGAGGAGGCTGAGTCGCCCTCACCGCGTGTGAGTGGTGGTGGTGGTGAGGAGCTTGCGAAGTCGCCCTCACCGCGTGTGAGTGGTGGTGGTGAGGAGGCTGAGTCGCACTCACCGTGTGAGTGGTGGTGGTGAGGAGGCTGGGTGTGTTGGTGTTGAGGCTGCGAGCGCCGTGAGCGCCCTCAGGATCGAGCCGACGGCAGCCGCGGCGCTCACCGAGAGCACGGGGCGGAGTGACGTCACTCCGCGCGTGTGTACACCGACCTGGGTGACGTCACTACGCGCGTGTGTACACCGACCTGGGTGACGTCACTACGCGCGTGTGTACACCGACCTGGGTGACGTCACTCCGCGCGTGTGTACACCGACCTGGGTGACGTCACTCCGCGCGTGTGTACACCAACCTGGGTGACGTCACTCTGTGTGTGCACCACCGACCTGGGTGACGTCACTCCGTGTAAGCACCATCGACCTGGGTGACGTCACTCCGCGCGTGTGTACACCGACCTGGGTGACGTCACTCCGTGTAAGCACCACCGACCTGGGTGACGTCACTCCGCGTGTGTACACCGACCTGGGTGACGTCAGCCTCAGGTCGGTGGTGCACACGCGCGAAGTGACGTCACTCGCGTGTTACGTGCAACATGCGTGACGTCACTGCAGTGATATTCCTGTTTCTTTTAAATAATATCCACGATAATTGATATAGTCTGCTTTTAAAAAAAACGGTACATGGTATTCACCGTTGTTATTTTGCTTCAATTGTTTTTATTTCCTGACAAACTTTTTTTATGAAATGATCCTTATTGCGGTATACCCGGGGTACCAAATAAAACAAAATTTCAGTTTCATGTATTAGGTATAACCCCGTGAGCCATGTGGCTCTAGACTCGCGTGCAACCGCATCAAAACAAAAACATGAAACATCTTAAAGTGACTACACGCAACAGAAAAATGGCCGAGGCAATTAAATATTTTCTTTCTGAAACACTTCCAGAGGTGTTACTTAACTCCGAGACTGGAGTACCAATCAATCTGAAATCAGTGCCACTCCGCCATGTCGAAACGCCAAACATTAGCACAACAAATACGTTATATATAAAAAAAAATCTACTTTGAATAGTGCATCGTGTAACAGCTCGTCGAGATGAGTCGATTGCCGCATCGCCGACCATCAACAGACTAAAATATTTTTCTTGCTGTGGTTTTCCCCACCTGATGATGGTTGCTTGTGTTGCAATCGAAACGTCGTGATTTATTTTATTTTATACCTACGTGACTTCACCGAAAGAAGCAGAGAGTATGGATTCCTGCAGTCACGAAAGCTTCAAATCAAGATTAGACTAAAAATGACTGCATCACGGACATTATGCGAGAGCCGGGGTACCGCCATAAGGTTCAAATAGCGAGCTCAGTAATAAACGTTGTACAATGATCCATTAATTTGGTTCTTTGTAAAAGTTTTTCCCGAAGTTTAGTGTTCTCTTTTTTACTATATATATATTCTCCACGCCTTTATTAAGATACAAAAGAAGTGGGGTGCACATCAGTCTTTGCGATCCCTAATTGCGATCTCGGAAGCGGGGGGAGCGTGGAAAGCATGAGTGGGAGAAAAAGATCGAGAGACGAGACGGGGAGAGAGTGTGATGGCCGGAGGCGGTGGTGGAATGGTGGGGGAGTAGAGTCAGATGGGAAACGAATCCACGGGCCAAAAGTCCTCTTGCAGTGACCCCTGTGACCAGGGCCGGATTCACATTTTGTAGGACCCTGGGCTACAGGTACTGTGAGGCCCCCAGTAATATTTTTAAAAGGAAAACAAAGTTAAAGAAAATTATAATTTCTTTTTACAAGGCTAACAACAAATAAAATTCAGCATTCACAAATGAAATAACTTTTCACTTCATCTCCGGAGGCCCCTCCAGCTGGCGGAGGCCTCTGGGCTGCAGCCCCTAAAGCCCTGACGCCTTAATCCGGTCCTGGGTATAGCCCGTGTTCAAGTGTAGGTAACTAATGCTAGAGTCCTCCACTTGATGCAAGCCTCTAGCTCTTGGATCTTCTGTTGCCCTAGCTGAGAATAACCCACGAGAGCACCGTTGGCAGTTCTCAAAAGGGGCTTTTGTGTGCGAACGAAATGTATGGAGGACGTATGGACAGAAGAAGACATTGATGTCCCGAGTCTATTATTGAGCAATTGTGCAATGCCCCGGCGTAATGGATCACGAATACCGTGCGCCACATGTGGCGAGACAATGAACTGGGTCAGGGGTCAACCTGGGCTAGAAGTCTAACTCAAGGGGCTTGGGAAAAGGAAAGTGTTCTGGAGAGCTCCAAAGTTACAGTCAATTCGGGATGAGCTCGCGAAAGCGGCTCGCAACAACAACAACAACTGCAGGGGTGAGAGGTAATTTGGTACGAGCCAATTGGTGATTTTGGAGTGGGCCATGGCACCATCACGTTGGGGTTAAAACTGGGTGGAAGCAGGTTGACCTGCGGCAGAGTTCTTCACTTCTTTTGGAAGGGAGGGAGGGGGCACTTTCGCCAATAAGACATCAGCGTGAGGGCCAGCCACACATTTGAAACCATTGGGTTTGACAGCTTGATGGGTTGTGTTTACATGTATTTGTAATAAAGGACTCTCAGCCGATGTTGTTCTCCCTGTCCTTTATTGGGTTCTTGCTCGCACCCCGCGATGTCTCCGCTCCGACCCGCACATTCTCCGCCTCGTGCCTCCGCACGTCGTCTGAGTCATCCGCTCCCGCTCTCTCTCTCTGCAGCCACCCCACTGCTCGTGTGCTCCGCACACTCCGCAGCCCCCTTGCTGCTCCGTGTGACTCCGCACACCCAGCAGCCACCCTGCTGCTCTGTGTGCTCCCGCACACTCTGCAGACACCCCCGCTGCTCCACGAACACCGCTGGCCGACGGTGCCGTGACTCCTGCCTCGTGGCAATCGCGCCACTCCTAGCCAGCACTCCGCGTGGCCTCTCCCTTCTCTATTCTGTCTCCACTCCCGATCCCCTTCCGGTTCTCCCCTTATATCCTCCCCCTCACGTGACCCTGACTCCTCCTCCTCCGCACGTGACCCTGACTCCGCCCACACTCACGTGACCCTGTCCTTGCTCGCATTACATGACCCCCCACCGTGTAGAAAAACCCAGCCGTCCCCGGCTGCAACAGAGCAAAATAATGCGAGCAAAAGTCCAGCAACAGGCATAACAAGACAACGGAGATTATAACAACAACAACACAACAACAATAAATAGCACAATTAACGAAAGGAAAGGGACTTGGAACGCGTGCGGGTCGCCGGCCCGTCCTGAACGGGGGGCTGCCCCTGCATAGACCGTGACCGCGACAGGATTTTAGGAGCGGCGGGACCGGAACTGCCCGCCGCTGTTGGAGTCCCGCCAATGTCAGAGTCCCGTACCCCCGGGAGACCCGTCGCCGGGGTCTCCAGCAAATGCGTCTGCGGCGGGGTTGGAGGAGCGGCGGGGCCAAGTGTCCCCGTCGCCGTGGTAGGCCCACCCGGAGCAGAACTCACCGTCTCCGTCCGTGTTATGGCTGGTCCGTCTGTAGAAGGCACGACAGGCGCGCTTGCAGGTTGAACAGGCAAAGTCAGTGGCGCGTCGGACGCAAAAGACACCGGCAAGGCAACGTTAGGAGATGACACATCCGGCCGTGGGGCCACGTAGGGTTTCAATCGAGACGTATGTACGTACCAGTGCCGCGATCCGAAACGAACACGTACGGACTGCGGACTAGGCACCTCGATAAGCACAACCGGCCCCTGCCATGGTTTGTGCAACTTAGGGGAGGTCCCCACCCGCACCTGCGGGCAGTGCAGCCAGGCCATGTCCCCCACTCGCCAGGGGGATTCCCCATCCGAGCGCCAAGCACAACGTTCGTTCCGGGCCTGGGTCTTAGCCATAGCCAATCTGGCCCCCTCCCGTGCCTCCGCCACGCGACGAACGGCGTCCCGAATGTATTCCGGAAGAGGCTTAACAGGACCCTTCGCCCCCGTACCCAGCTGCACGTCCATCGGCGGCACATTCTCACGGCCGTACATTTTAAAAAAAGGTGAGTACCCCGTCGACGCATGAGGCGTCATCCTGTATGCAGAGAGCACCCCAGGGATGTGCAAATCCCAATCAGCCTGCTTTTCGCTAACCGTGTGACAGAGCATAGCCGACAGGGTCCGATTAAGCTGTTCCACCATGCCATCCGTTTGAGGGTGGTAGGGAGACGTTCGAACTTTCTTGGTCCCCAGTTGAATCTCCGGCCTTTAGCCGTAAGGAGGTGCAACGGCATCGCGATCGTGGCAAAGTTAGGAACGAACCGGCGGTAGTATCAGGCGAACCCAACGAACCGACGCACGTCGCCCACTGAGGCCAGAGTTGGCCAGTTACGGACGCACGCCGTCTTCTCCGGGTCCGTGGCGACCCCGTCAGAACTAACAATGTGGCCCAAATAGCGCACGGATCGTTGTAAGAGGTGACACTTTTTGGGCTTAAATTTCAAATTGGCCGAACGCATTCTGGCAAACACCGTGTCCAACCTCCGCAAATGTTCCTCAAACGTGCGGCTGAAAACGATAACATCGTCTAAATATTTCAAGCACGTCTCCCACTGCAGACCCGTTAATACGAGCTCCATCAGCCGCTGGAATGTCGCGGGGGCGGCGTTCAGGCCCATGGGAAGACAATTAAACTGAAACAATCCCTGCGGCGTCCGGAAGGCCGGCTTTTCCCTCGAGGACTCGTCTAGGGGAAGTTGCCAGAATCCCGATGAGAGATCAAGAGTAGAAAAAAAATTCGCCCCAGACAAGGCATCGAGGGAATCGTCCATACGCGGCAGGGGGTACGCATCCGCAACCGACACCTTATTTAATTTGCGAAAATCCACACAAAACCGCAGCTTCCCATCCTTTTTTTTCACAAGGACCACCGGCGCGCCCCACAGGCTGCTTGACGGGGAAATAATGTTGGCGGCCAGCATCTCCTCCACCGCGCCGCGAATGTGATCCCGCTCCGGCGGACTCAACCGATGCGGGTTCATCCGAATCAGAGCGGCATCCCCCGTATCAATGTGGTGGGAAAGCAAGGAGGTGCGACTCAAATCGAAATCGTCCGCATTAAAGACGTCGGAATATCTTCCCAACAGTGCGCGGAGCGCGGACCGCTGGTCCGCAGTCAAAGACGTATTTTTCACGGCACAACTCGGCAATCCATCGATCGTCCTGT